ACTTATATAAGTTATATCAAATAGTATATAGTCATATCATTATACAATCTAATTGCCAGACTTAAAATAAAGAGGTACTTACATAAAGTTCTATTTTGTTTATTAATATAGTATTAACTATTATTTGTATCTGTAGCAGTATTATAATCAAACCAAATCTTACTAACCTAAAAACTGTAATAGCTGTATCAAGTACCTACTACATAGTATATTATATATTTATATTTAATCGAGCCCATGTCAAACGATTTAGGTGCGTTGCTCACAAATGTAGATAATAAAAGCAATACCTAGCTGTGGTTGTCAATTATCTAAATATTGTTATTTATCAATTATCTATTTATTAATTTGATTAAACCTACCTATTGTATACTCAAATTAATAATACCTAATATATAATTATTTTATATTATTGTTTCTGTGACATCCATCGTCGACTCGAGCTGGGATAATATTTTATAAAGTATATAATTTAACTAAACCAACCCAGCCACCGTGTATCAACTCTTGATAAATATACATTTATATATTATAATATGCATGTACCAGGTACCTACAGACCGACTCTGTGGGTAGATCGTGTAAGCAGTAAAATATAACATAATAACGCAGTTTCTTGAATCAAAAAATCGAACTTTTCGTCGCATATTTTCATTTCCGTTTATAGTAATAACAACACTGTCCGCTGCGAGATCTCCTCCGCGGAACTCGACTCGAGCGAAGTACTGACGCGGGCGGCTTATAAATTTAGTGGGGAACGCCAATAACATCCAAACAGGAAGGGTAATACCACTAAAACGGGCCAAGAAACGAATTTTAGAAATAAACGGCAAAAAACGACGCGACGCATGTATTTATTGTTGTATATAGCGATACTTACACGGTACCTACTCGTACAGACTCGTCTGTGAAAAAGTAGGGCCACGCACCGGCTATAAATTTAGCGGGGAACGCGAATAAGATTCAAACGGGGAGGGTAATACGACCAAAAGGAGCTAAAACTCGAATTTTTGAAAAAAAAACAAAAAAAAAAAGAGAAATCAAACTCTTCGTCGCATATTATATTCACGCCCATGTATAGTAATAAAGACACTGTCCGCTTGCTAAATCATTTGACAGGGAACGCGAATAAGTCTTCAACGGGGAGGTCCGAAGTCAGTAGAGGCGTTAAGACTCGAATTTTGAAAAAAATCGGAACATTTACGTTAAAAATGATAAGACGGAAGTGATAGCGAAACGACGAAAAAAAAAATTCAATTTATCACGGCCGTCGCAAATATTATCGATTTTCGGGCGGCGGGTTCGAAACCACGACCCTCGAGTCACCTGTCCTAGCGCCTAACTAACCTAGCCACCTACTGAGATGAAAATCAGAGTCAAATCTATGACTCTTACGCCGCGTTGCCGTCAACGCGAAAGGCGAACGCCGTTTGGTCGTCAGTCAAAGGGCGTCGTTGCGGGCCATCCGACCGCGTCGGGAAGCGGACTACCGGCTCCGCGGCCCTAGGATGTATAAAACGCGAGAATTGCAAAAAAAAATCGAACCTCGAGACGCATGTATTTATGCCTGTATTTAGCGATACGTAATCGGTACCTACTCTCTTTTCCGCGACGCCGCTCCAACCCGGGACTCGTTTTTGAAGGGCCCGCAGAGAAAAAAGTATGGCGGACTTATAATAGTAAATTTAGCGAGGAATGCGAATAAGGTCCAAACGGGGCCGCCCGAGGACCCGAGGGGAGTAAAAGTCGAAAATTTTGAAAAAAAATCGTGAAAAGTGATAAGGAGGAGTGATAACGCAGCGACCGCGACGGCTCCGCAAAAAACGACGCGACGCATGTATTTATGCCTGTATATAGCGATACATACACGGTACCTACTCTCGTTTCCGCTCACGTTTAACCTCCCCTGGACTCGTTTTTGAAAAAGTAGGGCCGCCCGCCGGCTATAAATTTAGAGGGGAACGCGAATACGTCTCCGACGGGGAGGTCGGACGTCTCGTAGAGGTGCTAAACGCGACTCTAGTATAAAAAGTCGGAAAAACCGTCGAAATCGCGACGACGCCGCGCTCTCTGCGATCGACTGGTCCGCCGGGGGACTGGATTATAAAAAAGAAGGACCGCGCGCCGAATACAAATTTAGCGGGGAACGCGAATGAGATCCAAACGGGGAGGTCGATACGCCCAAAAACGCCTAAAACTCGAATTTTCGAATTTTACTGTCCCTATCGGGGGACCCGAACTCCTCCCCTGGGGGGGATAGGGGGTCCGGGTTGGCGGGGGCTGGTCGGCGCCCTCGAGAGCCGCTAGGGTTGCGTCAAGGGGGCAAAACTTTTTTCCCGGAGCTCTAGGAGCAACCGTTGGGGAGTTACGGCCGAAAAACCGTGGGGACCGTGGGGGGTCTTCCAAGTGGACTTAAAAAAGCGATAAGGAGGAGTGATAACGCGATTTCCCTCCATTGTCCACTAAGCAGTTCGGATTTAACGCATAGGCGGCGCCACACGTGTTCATGCTTTATAGTATAGAGATTATAAAAATAAGCAATATTACCTAAAATTAGGTACCTACATAGATATTATTCTTCGGTGAGTATAGAATATTGTACTTACTATCTCTAATTATCATAATCATCCCCAAAAATGTACTATGTTGTAATCTACTTTTAGTAAATGTTAGTACTACACTATTACATAATAATAATTTATAATTAATGGGTAGGTAACACAGCTATGTTAAAATATTATAATAATATATGTATATATAATATTATATCGGCTTTCAATTCTCTAATGCTCGAATAATCATCAAATTACTTGACCAGCCAAGTAGACCATCCCCCCCCCCCTTGGGAATTATTTAACGAATAATTTATTTATAGTCATTTATTTTACGAACACATAACGTATATCGTTGTTTCGTGTCACCGATAATCCACCAGTAGATAGCAAAGAACAAATATCAAATATCAAATATTCGTACAAGTACTCTGTTCCTTCTAACTACCTATAGGTACATAATATGGTGACTATCAACAAATATAGCGAATATTTGTCAAAAACGGTGGAGTAGTATTTAGGTCTATAAGCTACAAAAGTACAAACATACGGACAGTAATACATTTTTATCTTGAATCAAAAATTATTTGATGGATATCACAATTTTAAGTCCTAACATATATTTTTATGTACACCATTAAGAAACCACTATAAATTCTTAAAAAAAAAAAAAGAAAAATAATCATATTAATATAGACATTTTTTTCCCTACAAAGTTTAATACTATATACACTAGGTACCTATATTAGAATATTATAAATTATATTTAGTGGGGGAATAAAAATCCCCTACATTCTCCCCACCATAAATACTATACCGACTCTCAGTATAACTTGTTGATTTTATTTAAACATATTCGTCAACTGACTTATTGTTATATTTCTAAGAATAGTAAATTATTGTGTAAGAAAATGTATAATTTTAATGAGCTTTACTTGTTTGGAAAAACTTCACTAAGTAACATCCATGGCAAAATAATGACTGAAGCTACAAAAAAGTTAATGCCACATAATATATAAGTTATAGGAATCCAAGGAGTTGAGTAGATATAGCCATTTTTAATTGCTACAATGTAGATGCCGAATAGAAACATCAATAATGTGTTGATAAAAAATGTCAAATTAGTCAAAAAAATTTTCCCCAGATAATGGACGGTCAATACAACTATCAAGGATCCAATAGTTTGTAGTACAGCAAAAACTACCTGGAAATATTTCAATAAAAATATTTATTATTTTACCTATAAAAGTGTATATTTTTCCGTAGTACCTATATTTACCAAAAGCAAACTTTGATTATTCGATATACCAACTTCTGTCACGATTTTACTGGTATACCTTCGGTCTCCAAGGTACACTGCTAACGATATCGGAAATCAGGAAATAAAACATAATAAATATAAAAGGTCTGTACACCGAAGGCTCCTTAAGCTCGGCCAATTTTTATGATAAATTCCTACGATTAACATCGGACGTTCTTCGATGAGTTCCAGATACTTCGTTATATCGGATGAGTTAAAGAAGTTCGGTTTTGACAATTTCGGGTTCTACCCATTCTCTTAACCAACCCAAGGCCTTTTCGTCATTTTCGTTTTTCGCTTTGGAAAATAGCCACAATGGAGACTCTGGAATCTATAAGCAATACAGGTGCACGTGTACCATTAAAATTAACTTATACGTATAACAAACATATAGGTAGGTACCAAAATCACAAGGCATATTCACGTGATCGGACAAAGTGTACTCAGCAATGCGACGGTTCTACATTCGAATAAATATCCCAAAAAGTAAGTCAACAACACTCCAAGCATAGACGAGGTACACGCCAATGAAGCCATCGATCCCCTGAGTCTCGGTTCGGTTATTTCGCCGATGTACGACAATATCGGGGCTTCGCTGAATCCTATGCCCAAACCCATCAGCACGGTGGACGAGTAAAGTGAAACTGTGGAGTGTGTGTAGTACAGCAATATCCATCCGAAAATACTGGGGACGTTGGCGAGAATCATGCACCGTTTCCTTCCATATCTTTCTTGTAGGAATCCCGATAGAAAACTTCCGGTCAGATGAAATATAAACAATATACTCCCTGTATAATAGTAAAAAATATAAATGTATAATTGAGCGTACCTATTTGATGCGGCAGAGTGTGGGTGATTTGAACTGGTGCGTGAACAGTAGCTTGTATAATATTATATTGATAGGTACTTACAATAATATTATTATACTCCACAATTTATCACAAAAACGACGCATATAAGCCGAGTACAATTTCGTGAAACGTATTGTAGTGCAGTGTTCTGATTTTCAGTTTGATGAACTCACTAAATAGCGAACCTCTAGTTTTTTAATAATTTTAACCTTTTTTTTGTTACCTAAGATAGTTCATGTTCTGAAATCTCAATGAACTAATAACTACATAAATTAGAATCAAATACATGTTAGTTGTTCAAATAGTTAATGTTAATGAGAATTCACTGTCCGAATTTCGATATAAATGTTGAATAACAATTGTGGGCATTCCTATTTCCATGCCCAATTCAATTAATAGAAAGTTCTGCGCCGTTGTAGCGAAAATCTGCGTTATTTAATTGCAGTTGTTTTGGTTTGTTTTATATTTTAAAAAAGGTTTGTATACATATATTATAATGTGATACCAACTTGTGCCACCGTAGCCTTTGGGCCGTAGGTTTTGGGAGTATTGTCCATGTTATTTTCATTTTTATTAGACATTGACGACTTGCCTGAGTAGAACTACAAATTACAATAATTTAAAAAAAATTTAGCTAGGTTATCTAGCCTATAGGTGTATACGCGTACGTCTAAGTTTTAGAGTAAAATCAACCGTCGATAATTACTATAAAATGTCGGTTTTTCCAGTCAGACAGTATCGCGGACACATGTAATTTTTTTTTTTTTATTAAATAAAATTAATTTATTATAAATTATATAGGGCTCAAAAGAACAAGTTTACAAGAATTTAATAAGATGAATCTATCTAACAGCTGTAAGCAAGCTTGTGATGATGGTAGAGAGCTACAAAATCTAGTAATTAATATAATAATCGATGCCTGCAGCTTATGGGAACTCGTACTTTCCCTCATTTTTTAATGTTATTATAAAATCTAACATTTCCTGATTGTGAAGCTTTGATACTTGTTTTTAGTATATATTTTAAACAATAACTGTTCGAAACATATCATAAAATAAGCATAACACCTTTTTCGAGGAAATATCTAGCCTGAAATGGAAATAAAATATGGAATAAACGAGAAAGTAACGAAATTCTTAAATTAAATAATATTATAATAAATTGTTCGCAATTTGAATAATACGAAGACGATTCACAGCGAAAAATGTTCATCTAAATCTACAACTAAATTATCATAAATTATCATATATTTTCTTTGTCTGGCACTTCACAAAGTTAGAAAAGTGTGAAATTTCTTCCTAGAATCCCACGTTATCTCTAAATCCAAATTATTTTAAACTAAGATCACTTTTATATATGTAATAAATCTCTACAAATATTTATTGCAACTATTAGTACCACACGAGTCATTATGACAAAGATGTGCATAAATTTCCTCACCTCCGTTTGCTTGTTAAACGTAAGACATTACATCGTCCATGTTGTTTAAACGCAAGAGGTATTATACGTGGCGCGTTTTTTTTATTGTGGTGTCCCCGGTAGGCATAGTCCACATTTTAAGAAAGTCTTTTACAGTAAGTTGTATGGGCGACATTAATGATTTTATAATAAATAGCTTGTCTGTGAAATATTAAGCACCTAATGGGAATATCTAGCCTCTAATGAAAAATGTATGAATTATCACGCGAATCACACGTCGTCAATGAACCACACTTCTTTAGCTCACCTAGCGTCGTCATTGAACCACACGTCGTCAAGGCACCATACGTCGTCAACGATCCGCACGTCGTCAGCGAACCGCCAGTTACGCAGCGAACCGCATGTCGTCAGCGAACCGCACGAAGTCGGCTGCAGCGCACCGTGTGTCCAATCCCGGATTATGGGAGGGGGTCAAGGGGGGCACGGTCTCAGGGCCCATTGGTTTTGGGGGCCCATCTGTTTCCCCAATATATATTTCAAATACAGTTTTCAAAAAAAAAAATTATTGAAGTATATAAGTATAGTAGGTTAATTATTATTAATAATAAAATTATAAAATAAAATTGTTCTCCATTTTAACCACAAAAAATTACTATAAATAATGAATAATTATGTTTGCCAAAAATATGTTTTTTTTTTTCGAGCATTTTAGATTACCGAATTAACTATTTAAGTATACAAAAAGGTAGTTATAAAAAAAAAATATTTAGCTCTTAATAAATTAGGTATTTCAGTTACAAGTATTAATGCATATTAAACTAAAATTTAAAGAACCATAGTCTAACCTATAACCTAACGAACCAAAATTTATCATTTTACTGTCAAAATATTCAGAAAAAAGTTTTACCAGAATCCATCCAAAAATATAGTGGTTACCATTTGAAAAAATAAAGTCGATTTTATTATTGATACAACTGCGTGTTTAAAATTTTGAAAATTTTGTGAAAAAATTGCTTGTTAAAAATAAAGAAACACGTCTTTTTTGTTTTAAGGAAATTCCATATCATTGATTCATAATTGTTAAAAAAAACCACGTTCAATGACATATGATAAACCCTGTATATTTGTTGTATAGTAAAAAATTATACAGTAATATAAATTCCTTAATATGTAATGATACAATTATTTTTAATTTAAAGTTGAAAGGGGGCCCACTAAGTGTATAGGTGTCCCGGGGCCCGATCTATCCTTAATCCGGGCTTGCATGCGTCGTTGGCAAACCACACGTTACGTCAGCGAACCGCACGTCGTCAGCGAACCACACGTCGTCAGCGCACCGCACGTACGTCAACGACGTGCACGTCATAACAAACCACACGTGCGTCAAAGAACTACACTTCGTTATCAAACCGCTCATCAGGACCGCTAGGATGCCATCGGCACAATCCAAATCTTTACATGGAAATTATCGAAGATTTTATGGGAAATGTATGCTATTCTATGAAAATATATAAATTAAATAGTCGGCTAATGTCAAGGCGATATTAGAAAACGTAGATCGACATTGGACCATATTATTACACTGAGACAGATGATGGCTAAATTTTATAAATTTGATAAAGAACTGCAACTGAAAACTGAAATTTGATTAAGAATCTTTATGGACTATAAAAAAGCTTATGACTGAATTGACAAACTATGAGAAGCACTGGAAGAGCTAGGCACTCCTAACAAGTAAGTAAGTCTTATACAAGGATGTAACAATAAAAATGTATGCGTAGTTCACCTCCTGCAGGAAATGTCTGAAACCTTTGAGGTAAAGTCAGGTCTTCTACAATGTTAATGCTTTATCATCCACTCTACTGAATCAACCATTAGGCAGTTAAATGATAGAAGTATGGGATGGTCGAAAAATGGAAATATTATGTAGTGAACGAGTAATATTGGCGTAAGCAGATGACGAATTGAAGTCAAAAATACTTGTCCAGACTCTTAGCAAGTAAAATTATGGGGCTTAGTAATACAGGGCTACTTGTAAATGGGGAAAAGACGAAATTAATGGTAGCAAGAAGAAGCTCAAACATTAATACTTTAACAGTAAATGATTAAAATTTCAAGAAAGTGGAAGTATTTAAGTAATTAACCATTATAATAAATAGAACAAGGACAGGTACGAATAAATCAACTATCAAATAACATGCGGCTATCGGTGCTACTATAGCAAAATTAAACTTCTTAAATCAAAACTACTTTCACAGAGTCACATAACTCAAATACACTATTTTATCATAGCCATTTACGACCAATAATCACTTATACGATCGAAACATGATCACTGACCAAAGGAGACGGCCAACGGCGAATGACCTTCAAAAGAAAGGTAGGTACTGAGAAGTATATACGGTCCAAAGTTCAACGCAGAATTTCAAACTTATGAAAGCAGAAAAAAATCAAGAATAATACAAAGTCGATGAGCCGCGAACAGTATTTTTTTAATATGTCGCAGTGTATGTTTAAGTATGGAAAAGTATGGAAATTCTAGTCAATACTGATTTAAATATAAATAAATTTAAAATAAAGAAAAGAAAATGATGGAATTTCAGTAAAAATGCTCAAATTAAATATACATTCATTGATTAAACCATTATCACACATTTTCAATTTAGCTATAACAACATCTACTATTCCGGAATGCTTTAAAACTATTGAAAAAATTATTAAAAAAGAATTAGTCCATTACCTTGAAAGTAATAATCTTCTATCATGTACCCAATTCGGGTTTGGACCCGGTAAAAGTACCGAACAAGCAATTGCAACGGTATCAAGCTATATTTATAATTCTTTCGAAAAAAAAAAAATGTGCAACTGTTTACTTGAATCTAGTAAAAGCATTTGATACTATAGAATATAGATCATAAAATATTACTACAAAATGTTAACACACTTGGTCTCAATGGAACGGCTCAGAATTTATTAAGTTCATACTTAAAAAATAGAAAACAACACGTTCGAATAAACAATGAATTAGGTAGGTAGGTAGTGTTCAATCCGACATGAGTAAATTACAAAAATGGCTCAGTGAAAATAATTTATTCCTAAACTTAGAAAAAATCTTCATATAACATTATTACCACACTATATAGTTAATTCGAATCAACCAAATAAAACAAATCTATGTATACATGAGAATGATTGTTTAAATCAAGATATATGTGCATGCCAAATATTTGTGAAAATAGTTTTAAAAACTGTTAATACTAAGGTATAGAAATGTGTCATAATCTTAAATGGAATGACCACATAAAATGTTTAATAAATAAATTAAGAAAACGTATGTATGCTCTTAAAAAATTAACAGATATTCTAGAACTTAAGACGATTAGAGTATCAAGCATTAATAGAATCCATAATTAATTATAGTATTTCTATATGGGGAGTTACGTATGATGCAACTATGGATCCATTAAAAAAAATCCAAAACAAGATACTAAAAATTATTCTAAAAGAAGACTCAAGATACCACTCAAAATATTTATATAATGACATGAATGTACTACCAATAAAAAAATATTTTATAAAGCATCGGTACTTTACATAACTAAAAATAACCTTACTTTTAAAATTGAACACGGACTCAAAACTAGGCAAATATCTAATATCAAAGTACTATAACTATGCTCAAAAAATTAACAATATACCATCAATAGAAATAAAACACAGCAACTATTTTATGATTCTTAAAATAAATAATTACACTTTGGCTATTACAAGAACAAAATATAGACAGACTCATAACAAACATATATGATTACTGCATTATTTATCATATTAGTTGTACGACTTTAGAAATTATTGTTAGTTTAAGTTTTATATTACCATATTATATTGTATTATTTAACTACACAATTTTTTAAATAATACTATATTATATAAACAAAGAGAAGAAAATAATATATATTATTTATATTATTAATATTATAGTTAGGTATGTGAGAAAATATGTATATTACAAATTGTAAATATTTAATTTATAAGAACTATATTTTAATGTATTTATATTTCAAATTATGAACTCATGGGCCCCCACACGTACATGTTCAGTGGGGCCCATTATCTTCTTGAAGAATAAATAAAAATTAAATAAAAAAAAAAAAATACCTGT